AAAGACATGAAAATCTTCAAAGTTTCCCATAGTGCTAGTGTAAGGAGGAAATAGTATGCTTGGGTGGAGATGTAACAAAAGTTTGGCTCCAATGTTAACCTCACTCTAAAGTCCCCAATGTTGTATTACTTGAGGTTGAAAAGAATCTTGGTAATAGCCACCCTCAACACACCCACACACACACACACACACACACACACACACACACACACACACACACACACACACACACACACGAGCACATACACTTTTTATCAAGTACTAAAAACAAACAGCTAAGTATTTGGTTTTAAAAAATTGTTTTAAAAAATTGTCATTGTAATACATCCAGAAACTCACAAATTGTTTCATGTTATATTTACAAAGTATGTGAAAAGTATACTGGAAACTCTAAGACATAACAGAAAGAAAGCTATTAGAGACCTAGGTAAATGTTGAGATATAACAAGTTCACAGTTCAGAGGACTCCACTTTTGAAAACATTTTTATTTTACAATAATTTTAGATATGCAGATGTACATGCTCCAGCTGGCTGTGCTTAATATTAATACTTATGTAACCATGATACATTTATCAAAACTACATTGTTGTTGATACAACAGTGTTAACTGAATTGTATGGACAACATACAATTTTATCAGCATTTTCCACTACCTTTCTTCTTAGGAATACCATCAAGGACACCTACCATAGCACACTTGAGGTCTTGTGTCCTTTTTTAAATATTTCTGTGTTGTCTTGTTTTGAACAATATTTCAAAGAATACATTCCAGGTATTTTGTGGAATGTCTCAACTTGGGTTGCTGGGAGTTATGTTTTTTTATTAGACTTTGTTATGAATTTGAGGAAAGAATAATGCAGAGATGATGTGCCATTTTTGGTACATTATATCAGGAATCCATGATGTGAGGATGACTTATTACTGGTGATGTGAACTGGGCACTGTGGCTACTGTGATATCTAGGACAATTGGATTTCCCTGTTTCCTTAAATGTTGTCTATCACATGAGGACACAATGCATAAAATTTAACTCAAAATGGATGGTAAGCCTAAATGTAAGACTAAAATCATACAACTTTTAGACAAACAAACAAGAGAAAAGAAAATCTTTTTAAATTTGGTTAGATAAAAACTGAAAGAACACATACACATGCATGCATGAACACCCACACATAGGCACAAATATTATTCATAATAAAAAATCATAAATTAGACTTCATCAAAAGTAAACCATCTGGGCACTAGAAATATGGCTCAGAGCTTAAGAAGAGGTACTATTCTTGGAGAAACACACATTCACCCAACCTGGCAGCTCACAACCACCTGTAACTCTAGGCCCAGGGTCATCTAACTTGCTTCATCAGGCAGCTGTACTCACGCAGCATAGCCACTCAGATACCCACACATACACAAAATATTTTTAATCTTAAGAATATTTTAAAAATTAAAATTGCTTATCAAAAGGCAACATTTAAAACTTTAAGAGCCAAAGCTATGTGGATAGAATAGTTGCCACACCTATATCTACAAAAAAACTTCTGGACTCAAAATGTACGACATGGGGGGAAGTGGTTTTTACCCCTCACAAATAAGATGAAATATCAATCTTTTAAACTGACAAAATACCTCAGCAATCACTTCTAAAGGAATATGCATAGTTACCAATAAGAATAGAACAGATGTTGAACATCATTAGCCTGCACATATTAAAACCATGATGAGCTAGCTACCACTACATCCCTGCTAAGGAAGCCAACATTAAAAAGACAGACAATACTACATTTTGGCAAGGATGTACATTACTGGGACCACTCATGCATTTCTGGTGGAAATGTAAAACAGTTTGGCAGTTTTTTCTAAGTTAAACACATGCTTATTTTAGAAAGCATCAATTCACACCTAGGTATTCACTCAAGAGAAATGAAAACATATATTACACAAAGAATTGTTCAAGTATATTTTAGCTCTTTTATTCATAACTTGCACAACATACAGAACAGTAAAAATCCATGCAAGGCAGGTAGATAAAAACACTGAGATACATCTATGTAATGGAAATCAAGTCAAGAACAAACTGTACTTCATGAAAGATGACAGATCAAAAGAGTACATATTGTATGTTTCCACTGATGCTTACTCTATTTATTTTTACTTTATATGCATTAGTGTCTTGCCTGCATGTATGTCTGTGTAAGGGCGTCAGATCTTTGAGTTACAGAGAGGTGTAAGCTACCATGTAGAAACTGGGACTCGAACCTGGGTCCTCTGGAAGAGCAGTCAGTGCTCTTAACCACTGAGCCATCTCTCAAGTTCCATGATACATATTCTAAAGTGACAAAGATCATCTATGTAGTGGCAAGTGCAATGTATACCCTGAACCTTGACTAGATTGTGGTATTCACTACAGAACATTTGAAACACTTTTGTGGTGATGGAAATGTGATATACCCTAATAATGTTGGGGTATCATGAGTTTATACACTTGTGAACACATACATTAACATTTTAAATAGTTGCAAGTTGAGTATAAAAACTGTTTTGTTTCATGTCATATATTTTATAAAACAAAATAGCTATGTTTTTCCAGCAATACGTCTTACCTAGTATTTTTGGAAAGCAGCCATATGAGCCAAGGTTGTGCATGTGGAGTGCATTTATTAGTGCTATGGCCCTCCTATCAATTATAGGAGATGATACATCTCATTGCATCTCCTATAACATATCTAATGTTTACTTTGGGGTGGGGTTTGCTGAATCATTTGCTCTTTGAATACTCAACTTTGGAAGACACACCTCTGGACTGGACACACATCACTCTCAGAACTTTTTTTGAGTTAGAACTACAAAATAGAAACATAATTTTTGTCTATCAGAATCACTTCAAGCAATAGCACCTCTACAACATTGTGGCTACCTATAACCTCCATGTTGTTTGCTAATCAACAGGTTCTATTGAAAGGAATAGCAGATGAGGGAGAATGGCTTAACACA